AAATATCATACCATCATAGAGCTATTACTCAGTCCCAGTCAGAAGAGTAAATGACATCTGTGATCCCTTAAGTTCTGGTTCTGACTTAAGCTGAATGCTTGGAACGTTCTTGGGCTTGGGTCTCCTAAACAGCACGTTGCTATAAAAAGGTTAGATGAATCAGAGTATATTAAGCTGATATTCTAGAATAGATAATAACTTTTGTTACGCCTGGGTTCCCACTTCCAGCAGGTGGATGCTCATACCGAAGGGAAGAGGAAGAATTCTATGATCTTGCATTTTTCTTCCATACACGTCCACGCAGACGCTCAGCCTACGCTATCTCTTTTCACATCTATACACTTACACATCCAACATTCAGCACACACATTCTGTATTTTCCTTCCATCCTTCTTTTACACAACAGTCACACCCATACACAACACACACGGTTCCCGAACCTACTAATCGGGTGGTGGCAGCGTGCTGTAGGTCTGGAACCTTACATCTGTTCACTGCAGACGAATCTTTTCCTGATTTAAAAAAAAAATTCGGTTGAGCCCGAACTAAACCAGACACAGTAAAATCGAATTGGTCTACGCCTCGCTCTCTCTCTCTCTCTATATGTATATATATATATATATATATATATATATATATATATATATATATATATATATATATAATGTATATATATGTATGCGTGTATGTGTGTGTGTATATGTGTGTGTGTGTATTTTTGTGTGTGTATCGGCTATACATAATGACTCATCACGTTCAGTAACTTTATGTATATCTTTAATCCTATGTCTCATAAGCCTTCATTACAAAAATATCTATGAAGAAAAATAGTCACAACGAAATAGCTACTAAATAACAGATCACTTTCACAACTTTGTACTAAGCACTAAGCAGGAGCCTTAAAGGTACAATGCAGTTAACAAGTGCAGTCGTGTGGTGTCAGACACGACCATCTTAGATACAGAAATTAAAAGGCAGACCCACAAAGATCACGTCATTTCCCTGAGGGCTGACCGTAGGACTGCGATGGGCGCCGACCCTGGCCTTGACCTGGCCTGCGACCTCCCGGGGAGTAGCGTTGACCTTGGCCTCGAGACGGACCTGTGGGGAACTGCGCCTTGCCCTCGAAGGTGATGGTAGGGTGGTATCCGGAGGCATCGGCGTAGTACTCGACCAACAGGCGTCGGCTGTCGGGGAGCTGCACGTAGTAGCTGTAAAAGAAAGCCGGTACAAGACAAGGCTAGAAATTCGGAAGTCGTTTGTTGAAGTGAAGTCGAGAGAAGATTATTTATCTACTTTTCTTGCTTTCTTTAGTCTAATATCATTCTTTGTAACGAAGACCCTATAGCAGTTTCAACTTCTTTTCAAACACTTATATGCTTTACTGTCACTGATTGTATTCTTTCATGCAACTTCAGGATAAGAATGTAATCCATCCACCCATCTAAAGCGGCGGCGAGTGTTGCCAACCCAAGGTCTCATTTTTGAACCAAATGTCCCTACAGATATCTTGAACAGTTCCCACCTGTTCTTGAATACAAAACCAGCGTCCCTATATTGCTCTATATCTTCTGTTACTATATAACACAATCACTTCATGGACATATCTCACTATCTCATTTGTTTTAAGAATCAGCAAAGCAGTTAGAAATTAGAAATTAGAAATCAATGACTCGACGCTTCGTGATTCTACATTTGATTAGAGAGGAAATGCTGCGCAAGAATTCTTCAATTTTAAGGTAACATCTAGTAACTCAAGACCCATTAATTGCTCTACAAAGAATTTCTGTATTTTCTATTTTTATATCAAGAAACAAAATAAAGATCAATGATGTCCGAGGTCCCTACATTAAAAACTAATCATCTGAAAATCGGTCAAAAGTTCCTACGGTTGGGAACTTTGTCGGCGACTGACCTTCCCTTGGTGTTAATATCCTCCCTCGTCTCCTGATGGCCGAAAGAGTTTCCAGAAGGGGGGTCGTTAACATCCCACTTGAAGTTGTAACTTGCCGGGGCAGATGGGTACTGGCCCGACCCGGAGAAGGACCCTTGACCACCTGGGGCCTGGTAGTTGTATCCTTGGGGAACCGCCTGCACCAGCGCGACCGCCGACAGGAGAACTGTTACCGTCTGAAGGATAGGAAATAGAAAACCCTCGTCACTCTATTTTACTTCTGGGGAAACATCGAAAGAGATCTCCGCAAATCATATCGTAAAACAGAAGGAAAATTAAGATCCATTGCATTACACGAATAGTTAGTTATAAAAATGATTCATCAATCACGCACGATGATAACACACACACACACACACAAAAAAAAAAAAAAGATAGAACAAAAATAAAAAATCAAATATCAAGCACACACATACAAATGCATCTGTGATAAAGAATGTAAAAATAAACGTTTCAGGAATTACTTGTTCCGCATCGTGAAACTAAACCACGCCATTTGCCTGTACCTTCATGCCTGCTTCACGTGTTCCAGCTGAATCCGACAGG